TAGGGGATCGAACCCTGGACCATGTGCATGGTCAGCGAGAGTCCTAACCACTGTGCCACCGACGCACAATAATTGAGAAAAAAGCATCACTCTGGATGGCAGCGTGCACTGAAACGTACACGAATTAATCAAATGACTGTTCCTGAACTCGTTAGCACTAATTGTAGATCCCTGTCCAACAAAATGGATTATCTTCAATCCCTAATGTATTCTAATGTTTATGGAAATGCTGGCATTTTAGCAATACAAGAGACTTGGCTGCACCAGCATTATGATGATAATCCAGTTTCAATAAATGGATATAGAGTTTTTCGCCAAGATAGAAAAAGTTCTAAGAAAAAATGTGGAGGAGGGGTAGCTACTTTTATAAACACAAGTTGGTCTACATCAAATCACGTTTGCTTCAATTATTCTAATGACAATATAGACTGCATAACCGTCAGGTGTCGCCCAAAACATTTAAGTAAGTATTCTTATATATACATAACAAATATTTACATAACACCCAATTGTAGCCTTTCAAATATATATATATATATATATATATATATATATATACAGTTATGTTCGCAGATGAATTTACTGAATTCGCTGCTCCTGCATTCGGAAACTCGTTGTCTATAGTCTGTGGTGATTTTATTTCATGTGATCACAGCTTTCTTACTTCACTTCGTAATGAGAATCTAGTCAAGTTTAATACACGTCTGGACAAATCACTAGAGTTGGTTTTCATAAACGACAGTGGTGTATACGAAACCCGAAGGACAGCTCCTTTGCTAAACTCTGACCACTGCATTATTCGTATTTTGCTGAAAGTGTACGGCAAGTTACAACAAAAATTGTTCAGTCATTTAACAAAGAAGATACATGAACGTTCATATTCCCATGACAACATTCTAGCACTAAGAAGCATGTTGTATGATACCAACTGGGACCTATTTACTGACGATAAGTTGGATGCTACTGTCTCTAATATAACCGATTATCTGAAGTTTTGTTTGGATATTTGCTGTCCATATGAAACACTGTTTTCGAGATTTGACAGAATCTCTTGTTTGCAGCTGAAAAAACTTAGGAGACAAAAAGAGAAGTTGTATAAGAATTGTGATAATACTGGTGTCTGTAAAATAAACACCCTTATAAAAATTGAAATAGAAAGGTTGAACAGACTATATGATGAAAAATTTTTATCATGTAAAAATCCTTCAAACACTTGGAAACTTTTCAATAAACTTGCAAGTAAAAAACAAATGTCTGTTGATGCTTATTCTGATGTTAATGCTTTAAACAAATCATTTATCATGAAACAAATTAATATGCCTGTACCTGATGTACCTAGTCAAGATAATGGTCATTTTCCGGGTTTTAAAGAAAAGGATGTATTATTATGTTTGAAATCTTTGAATCCAACACACAGCCTTGGTCCAGATGGTGTACCAGGCATTCTTCTTCAAAAGTGTGCAGGCATCTTGTGTCATCCTCTTACTCAAATCTTTAGTGCATCATTCAACAGGGAAATGGTACCTGCTGACTGGAAAGAAATCAAGGTTGTACCTGTACAGAAATCATCTTCTGGAGCAGGTATAAAGTTTAGACCGGTCGCTATAACATCTCCTTTTTTGGAAACTATGGAGAAACTTCTTTTGAATATTCTTAAACCTTCTTTAAAAGCTTTTAGTGACCCTAAGCAGTTTGCTTATAAGTGTGGAAGAAGTACATTAGATACAGCCATTGTACTACACCACAATATTGTTTCCTGCCTTGATAAGCGTGCTAAGTTCGTTCGAACAGCTTTTTTAGACTATACTGCAGCTTTCGACTCTGTTCCTAGGACACTTTTATTAGGAAAGATGATTTCAGCACAAACAGATCTTGGGCAACTAGATGGCTGTCTTCTTATTTTAAGGATAGGAAACAGCATACTGTTTTGGCTGGAAAGCGCTCCACTTCTCAGCTAACTGAAAGTGGTGTGCCTCAAGGTGCAGTAATTTCTCCATTTCTTTTCTCTTTCTTTTTACATGGCCTTCCGAACTCACCCAAAGTTAACTTCATTAAGTATGCTGATGATCTGACCGTTTCTGTCCCTGTAGTTTCCACATCGGATTGTTCCCATATGAATGGCTTCTTAGCTGAAGTTAAGGATTGGTCTGGCTCAAATGGTCTTAAACTAAATCCAACTAAATGTAATACTGTTGATTTCAGCTTGATAAGTGAAAAAGACATGCATGGATTGATCCAATCTCATGATTGTTGTAATATTGATGGTAACATGATAGAGAGTAAGTCAAGTGTTTCTTATCTTGGCATTAGTTTCTCTTCAAACCTTTGCTGGTCGTCTCATATTCTTATAGTTTCTAAGAAAGTTTTCCATCTGACTTATTGCATAAAGAAGTTGAGGCACTCAGGTATAACCCAATCTCTCCTCATACAATTTATTAATTCATGTGTTTTGCCCATCACTCTTTATTGTTCTCCATTATTCTTCCCTGGGCTACTCAAGAAAGACCATATAATACTACGAAGAACATTGAAGGCTGTAAGTAGGGTCAGTGCTATCCCTTTGACTCAACTAACCGACACTGTTGTCAATAGGCATATGAATTCTTGTAAACACTTAGCTAAAGTTATGTTGTCTGATAGTGAACATCCTCTTTATTCACATTTGTTTCCTTGTATCTCATCGAGTAAGACCAGAAGAAATTTCATAAACATTTATGCTTGTACTGCAAAATATAAAAATTCGACCGTACCATATTTGGCACGAGTATTGTGTGAAGAGACAAATATCAGAAAAGAACTTTTACAACTTTTAAATCATTGACTAAACTATAAAATGTAATGATGCATATTAATGCATGCGTTATTTGTAATATTGTTTATTTATTATTCACTATAACCTAGCAATGGTGTGATTTTGTTGGGTTTTATTTTTATTTTTCCTATTAACTATCAATATTTTAACATTTTATACATTTATATCATTATAAACAGAGCTAAACCATTGCAATATGTAAAAGAAACGCTGAAAATTCCATGCTGTAAATTGTTATTGTTGTGGAGTAAAGTGATTATTATGATTATATTATTATTAATAATGGATAAGGTTAGAAAGTCCACAGCGGAATTAGTTCGCAGAATGAAGCCGTCACTGGGTGAGTCAAAATGGTTTAATTTAATGCCTAAAACTAATAATGCTAGTAGGATGTATGGTACTACTAAAATACATAAGCCAGGTTATCCCATAAGACCAATAGTAGATTTTAGAAATACCCCTACATATGAATTATCAAAACATTTAGCTCTAATATTATGCCCCATTAGAAATCGTTCAAATTCTAGACTAACTAATTCATATGAAATGAAAAATAAACTGAATGACATACAACTAGAGAATGATGAAACAATGGTTAGTTTTGATATGACCAGTCTTTATACTAACATACCAATCAATATGGCCTTAGAAGCAGTTAAAAAAGAATTAATTGCAGACTTTAAACTCACTTATAGGACGAAACTACCCATTGATGTTATTATTGTAGGAATTCAGTTGTGCCTCACATCTACTATCTTTAAATTCCAAGGCAAAATATATAGACAAGCTGAAGGTGTAGCAATGGGATCACCAATATCCCCTATCGTAGCAGATATATTTATGGATAGCTGGGAAAATATGGCTTTTAATACGTTTAATCCTACTCCAAAAATTTGCTGGAGATATGTGGATAACACTTTCATAGTGTTGAGAACAGAAAATATCTCTTTCTAGCTTCTTGACACACATAAACTCACTAGTGGAGGGAATAAAATTCATATTTGAAGCCGAAAATGAACAAGGAGAATTAGCTGTGCTGTTAGATTGTAAAATAAAACGAATAGAAGAAGGCAAACTACACACTAGTGTTTATAGAAAACCAACGCATTCTAATAGATATTTAAACTTTAAATTATCCCATCCATCGTTATCTGTAAAGGCAGGCTTAGTTAAGTGTTTAACAAACCGAGCAATGGCACTAAGTAGCACAAAAAAAGACCTAAATGATGAAATAAAACAGATAGAAGAGGTGTTGGTGTTAAATAACTATCCTTTAAAATTCATTAGGAAGATTGAAGAAGGCCAAAAGAAAAAGAAAAAGAATTGTGAAACTAGTAATAATAACATAAATAACAGAGAATATAAGTAATCTACAGTTATACCATATAAAGACGGGATATCTGAGACCCTACGTGGGATTCTAAATAAAGCAGGAATTAGGGTGGCATTTAAACCTACAAACTCACTCAGGGACAAGCTCTGTAGGTTAAAGGACCCAGTGGACCCAATTAGACAAAATAATATAATTTACAAAATACCCTGCAATGACTGTGAGGTCAACTACATAGGTCAAACTAGTAGGTCAGGGGTAGTCAGAACATAAGAATTTAGCTAAGGTAAGAATGGTTGACCCACAGAAGATAAGTAATTTAGAAAAAAGCTCAGCAATTGCAATGCATACATTAGCACATAACCACACAATAGGGTGGGAGAGGGTTAAAATTCCAAAAAGTAATCTAGGTAGGTGGAGAGAGAGAGAGGTTGATTACTGAATCCTTGTTCATCGAATCTACACCCAACACATGCAGTAGGAATGAATCATCACTCATACCCGAAATATGGAAAATATTACTACCAATCAAATCAAGTGAAAAACAATGGAACTATATAAATGAATTTAGGAAGTCGTGTGATTACCTTGATATCATTATGAGTGGCAATAAATTGTGCTCGAAACGTCATCAGTAAACATTACTGTATAACACTGTGAGACTTTATCAAAACAAAATATACTCATAATGGAATTACACTCTACCACAGTGCCCAAGTTTTATTCTTATATCAACTTTGTTAAGTTGTTGTACACAGAAGGAAGACAATTTAAAAACTGTATTTTATTAAATCCACAAGATGGAATAAAAAAATAATGAATGTTCTGTTGACATCCAGATGATGGAAATGCACATTCTTATGGTTGTAAACAACTCTTCGGTTCATCTAACGGTTTCACTTTGAATCCTAATCTGTATAAGCAAAAGAAACGGAAAGGTGTAGTGAATTGTTGGCGAAAAGATTTCAGCGTCACAATTATTTTAGATTCCATTCATTCAGACTCAAATTTTCTTATTTTTAAATGTTTGCTTATAAAGTCTGCTTCATAAAAGTGAAATAAGTGGGTGCTGACTGTAAGACTGTGTACTCCACAATACTTAAATTTCACACGCCATTAAAAGTTGAATGTCCACCCTGATAAACTATAGTTAGGTGAAGACTAACATTCACTGCATTTTGCATGAGTGGATAAAAGATGTCAGATACTGAATTGTTATTCAGGTACATGAAGGCAGGAAAGAGGGTACACAGGAACTATAGAGAAGTGTACCCTCTAGTTCACACATACAGAGACCCCATTTTGATCGAAAGCCTAACCAGTCGACAGCTACTAGCAATTACACATCAACTGAAAGCACTGTGTTTCTGTGAATTTATAAAACAGAAATAAGCGTCTTTGTAACTTTCGATTCCACATGCCTGAGGAGAAACTTATGAACTAAATACCTCAAACTGAATATTTCCGCTGGCACGTTTTATAGTCAACTTTGATTTCAAGTATATTAAACACCAACAGATGCTCAAGTTTTGGAGTTCGCAACATCTCTTGTTTCATGAAAGTTCCAGATGCTGAGTTGGTTTACACAACTAACAAACAGCCCTCTTCATCACTCCTTGAAGGACGCATTTTACAGTTGATGTAGGATTGAATTCCTACATTTAATGGTATATATGTAAAACTTGGGCACTGTGGGGGTATTCGAATCATTTTCACCTTGTTTTTCTGTCACATCTTTCAATATTCAATACGCTACTAGCAGTGTTTGAAATATTGTCAAAGAGTTAACAATTATCACCACACATTCAATCATATCAATTAATTTTTTGAAATGACTGAACACAGCTTACACAATGAACGGATTTCGAGAATATCTTCACGAGGTCAGTAAAGTATGAACTTACTCTCTCATATAACAACGCAGTTCATCCAGTATTTGTTTCATTTCAACAATGGTGGACTGATCATGTGACCACAGACGATCGGCTATGACTGCACCTTCAGGCCTAGTGACAATTTTTAAACAACGTTAGGAAAAAGCGTTTTTAAAGTGTCAGCCGATAAGGCAACTAAATACTTGTAATTATATGAGTAGTGTAGGTAAAACGTTTTCAAACTTGCATTCCGAAATTTCTAAGAATTCACGTAGAAAAGTTCATATTGATCAACAACTGACTATCATGACATGGATATTACGAAGACGGAATCATACTGTCTCTATCAACAGCCAGTCTTAATGATATCAAATGGTTGGAAGCAATCTGTAGGAAGACTTGAAACTGGATTTTGTGCCTGTTGGCACTCACCAGTCAGCAAGGCGAATGTGAAATCCTAGAGGAACTCATGTCTCCTCTGAGATTTGAACCAGTGTCATCCAGTGCTGCAGTCATCAGAGACGTTGTTGCTGAGCTATTTAGGCTCTCGATTGACTTCCTGTCTTATTCAGACTGAGTAGATGGATAACCACATGGTATTCATTGCAACTAACATAGAAACGTGATCTCTATCAAGGTAAAGACTCTCACATATTTGCCAGTGTAGGATCTGCAGAGATAAACTCAGAAAACACAGAAATAGGATTGACGCCTTAGGCTCTGCCTGATAAGTTACCACCATTAGGTTGCTCAGTGTGCGTATGTATATTCGTGGCAGCAGTCAGAACATCTCACCCTGTATCTTCCAAAGAACATTTGAATGTGTTTTCACAAATCTAAACGTAATCAATTAAGTTCGTCAGCTTCGTTCCTCAAATCTGATTCAACGAGACTCTCTTCGTCACCATGATCTCAAGTGGATCAAACAAATCAGAGTTAAATTAAATCTAAAACTTCTGCAGTAATCGAACTAACCTGAATTTTGATATATGCATTTCACTCGATCAATATATTTCATAATATTGGTTTTAACACTGCTCATTTCATTCTCGTTAAGGTTAACCAGAATGCTTACAGTGATCTCGTGCCAATTCAGTCGAGTGCATGGAGTACAGAGGGATAAAAGTATGTACAAGTTAGCCAGTGTTTTGTGATCACTGCAGTCACTACGATAGGAAATATTTACATGGTGAGTGAAACAAGGCGTTAAACAATCCCTTAAATACCAAAATTGAGAGACTCAACTTTGCTGAGCTTATAGGAATTCGTAGCTGCACATTTGCAGTAACATTTTTACATATATTGCAATTGTGAGCATGTATAAATGACAATCTAGGCATCTTGCACTACCAGTGAAAACAGACCGCATGTGTCCATGTTTGAACAGCGAATCGTAAGCTTATTATGCCCTCAATCTATGAATAAGGGAGAGCCAAAATCACCAATACATCATGCACTAACAAACCCACTCCGTTCTACAATCACTTTGAGCTTAATTATGCACTATAATCGGTCTAAAACGTCTTCACCACCAAAAGAAACATCTTCAAGCATCACAAATTTTATTCATGAATGCTGCATTTTCATGCACCTGCTGGATAGGCAGATAACACAACTCACCATGCGCGCGTGAAGAGATTTGTATCGTCCACATTTTCTCCAGATACAATGGCTTCTCCACCAATCACCAATTTCTGCTCTTCCTCAGTACCTTAGACAGTTATGCAAGAATAGGAGGGATAAATTTTGCAATTAGGATACTAAGTTTACTCAATATTGAAGGCTTTATTCAACTTCAACGGAGTTTATCGCATGGCACTTTCTTTCCGTACAGGATCTTCAAGTGAAATATTAAGTGAGAGCAGGTTGTATGACTTACTGCTATCTCACATGCAGTGCAAAGAAGTCCATTGTGATATCTTTTCTGTATCCCCTTAGGTGAAAGAACAAGTTTGATTGGAATCCAATTATAGAGGGTACTTGGATACATTGTGAGAACTAGGGACATAAATGGTGAACAGTTATCCCATGCATTGGGATATGTTGCCACCTACGATTATGTCGTTTGTCATGTTTACTAGACAATCGCAAATAATTAAGTTGTGAGAATTTTAAATACTCGCCGGGGTAAATAATGCTATTAGAGGTCAAATTTTATTGGATTCAAGCAAACCGAACAGGGAAAATTATCCGCAAAGAGCCGATGGAAGTTTTCGGTAGCCGAAATTTAAGCAGACCTTCTTAATTATAATAAAACCACTAAAGGAAGGAATATGAATGAACTGCACAGGTGTTTTGTAACTGATTGGCGATGATTTCTCAAGCACGTTTCTGGTTATGACTGAATAATCACAGCCGTACAAATTTACTACTTTTACAAACTAGATGGGGTGGGAAACACTGAAAATTTCACATAAGGCTAATTCTCTGGTTGATTAACGACAGTGTGTCGGTGAACAATCTCGACAAGTCGGTAGAATTATCAAGCTCCAAAATATGATAACAGTGTGATTGGTGAAAATAAAGTTGAAGCATACTAATGGGTTTAGGTGGGCGTTTTGAAAGGCAGAGTGACTGCACAAAACGTTCCTGAACGAAAGCACTGTGTTAAAAGTATTTTCGGCAACTTTACAAGCTAGGCTTAGCGAGCGAAATCGTGCAAACTTGTAGAGTGTGAAAATGTTGCGGCTGCGACTGTACAACTGTTCCCACATTATCACCCAAATTTACAAATTCACATTAAATTTACTGGACCCGTAGCTTTTCTGTCAACCCATGGGAATGATACAACTTGTAGTGTTGCAAGAGAGTAATTTAGCTTTAATATTTCTGAGTTTTGAAGCCAAGGATTTGGAAACGACATCACTTTTAAAGTAAGATACAAACAGTTCGTCTGTACCGTTTTCAAGCACTTCTCTTTATATACTCACACCATAGGGACTGACTTAAAGTCTCTATATATCCAATCTCATTTAATGGCCTTCCCCTTAGCTTATTTTATTATCTAAAATGTCAGTTCTAATGATATCTGTAGCTCAGATACTGCAGCAGGGCTGAAATTTAGTTTTTGTTTGAGGAACTGAGCCGACCATACAACCAATGATTTCCTACAGAGACAACATCGGTCAACCTGGTGAATGACCGTTATTTGCCTCATTTGAGGATTCAATTAATTTGTGATCCATGGTGAACGTTTATGAAAGCGAAGAAGTGTCACAAAGTCAAATTCGAAGCCACTAGTGAAACTTACAGAAATCAAATGAAAACCCTAATCAGTCAAATGAAAGACATGAAATCAATATGTGTGCAATTCAGAGAGCGACATTTATACTCACGTATATTACTCACCTTCAAATGCTGCAATATCACAGTTATGATAATCATACCATCGAGTTGCCTGGTTTGAAGGAGAGATTTGCAAACATGCCGAAACTATAACTCGATAACCAGTTGATGTTATAGATTTAACAATATTCGGCCAATTTATGCCCTGCCAGACGTGCATCACAATGGTCTTATTCGGCTGAATAGGAAAAGGTACTTTTAGGGATTATTAAACGCATAAATTGATATGTTATGAGTCTGGAAATTGAGCAGCCTAATCTGATTCCAATGATCTTACGACAAATATTATATGTATACCTGAAGGTGACTTCAAGATGACAGATCACGGCTGAGTAGACCTCACTCACAGAAAGACAAACATTTTACTTTCGAGTTTATTTTATAACGCTTTTCTTGGAAGTGACTGTTGAATGTCATCATACAGGCATTGTCATTATCTTTCTTCTGAGTAAACATTGAAATATAATAGGCGTTAATGAAATTCGCAAATGCTTGAACTATACACTATTAGATGTAGAGGAAGAAATTGGATGCTGTTCTGATGTCATATTCCAAAATCCTTTCTGATGAGCATCAAAGATCATTGAAAGCTCTCAAGAATAATGACAGAATTGTCATATTGCGACCTGACAAAGGCTCAGGAGTGGTGCTGATGGATAAAGAGGACTACATTGCAAAGATGAAAGCTGTGTTAAATGACCCGTTGAGGTTCAAAGTTGACAATTGCCAGAAAGATAAGACTGATGCAGTCGAAAAACGTATCACAAACGCACTGAGAGATCTTCTAAAGAAGAAATTGATTGACAACAATACGTACAATGATTTGAAACCCCGAGGGTCCCGCTTGCCACATATGTATGGCGTTCCGAAGATGCACAAAAAACAAGTCCACCTGAGACCCATACTTTCGATGATCAACTCGCCTCAACATAAGGTGGCACGTTGGCTTGCAGAGAAGTTGGAACCTATTCGTCAACGGCTAGGCGTCCACACTATGAAGGACTCATTTCATTTCTCAGAAAGTGTGAACCACATGAACGTTTTAAATAAGTTCATGGTATCATTTGATGTAACCTCCTTGTTCACAATGATTCCAATCAACGAAACTATCGAGATCATTTGTCAGCAGTCTGATCTTCTCCCACTCCCAGAGTCGGAATTCAAACGCCTACTCCTTATGTGTACCATGGATGTGGAATTCCAATTTGACAACACTCTTTACCGCCAAATAGATGGTGTAGCTATGGGCAGTCCACTTAGCTCTGTTTTAGCAGATATATTCATGTCCAACCTTGAAAGAACAAAGTTGAAGCATGCAATCGAAGAAACAAATTCCTACTGTCGATATGTTGATGATACATTTATAGTGTGCAACAATGAAAGTCATGCTTCACACTTACTCGGATTATTCAATGATGCACACAGCAATATTGAGTTTACTATGGAACATGAAAGTGACGGAAAGTTTCACTTCCTCGACATTGCCATGAAACGCCTAGAAGACGGTAGTCTTCAAAAGTCAATTTATCGAAAGCCTACATGGAAAGGACAATACTTACATTTCAATAGCTTTTGTCCAAATAACTTTAAACGCGGTCCAGTCAAGACTCTGTACTATAGAGCGAGAAGAATATGCTCTATAGAGAAATTAGAGGAAGAATTTGAGTTTCTTGAAAAGACACTGAAGAGCAATGGCTACCCTCAAAGATTCATCAAGAAGTATGGAAGATCTGAAGTCGCAAATGAAAAACAAATCACAGTGGAAAAAAAGCCAATATACTTTGAGCTTGATTATAAAGGTGAAAACAATACAGCGATGATCAACAGAAGGCTGAGTACATCACTAGCTATAGCCTATCCTGCAGCAAAGCTCGTTCCCGTCTATCGAACAAATCGCTCTTTGGTGCAATCAAAAATCGATAGATATCCTTCTCATGTGAACTCCAACTGCATATACAAATTTACATGTATCTGCCGGAGCAGTTACATTGGAAGGACAGAAAGAAGTGCATATCTACGATTTTCTGAACATGTACCGAAAATCTTACGCCTAAAGGGAACAAATTCTTTAAACAGTGCCATCGCCAGGCATCTCCTGGACACGGGTTATGAGGTGGAAATCGAAAAATCCTTTAAAATTATCAATAGACAAAGGAGCTCCATTCTCCTCAAATTTGCCGAAGCAATTTCTATCAAACCCTTCAAACCAGATTTATGTGTTCAGAAAGAAGCAGTTGTTAGTCTTTCCTTGCCATGGTAACTGCATGTCTTTATTCTCCACTCTGATTACGTAATCTTTGTCTTCAACCTCACCCCCCCTTTTTATAATCTGTGATATTGCTTGACTCTTGTTTCTATGACGTGATTTGAACTCAGTACATCGTTACCAAATTTATTAGTTACTCATCATCTTACTCACCTCTCGTCTTTATTACGTAACTCTTTTACCATTGTATGCATACATCTATTTTGTTTAAACTTGAACTGCCTGTGTAAAAACTATATAAGCATAATTTTGTGAACACTTTTCACTATTTGTGGAACTTTCTGTCAACTGACAACATGTAAAATTTGCAAGTATGTTAAAACTTTTCTGTACATAAACCTCACAATTTATTTAGGCTGTAAGCAGCTGATGAGAAGCCGAAGAAATAAATGATGGTACCATATTATTCTGCACAAACCACTGTTGTTCTTGCTTTATTTAAATTCATTAAGGGGAATAAATGCATGAAGTTCTGAATTAACTTTGACGACGTACGCGACAGTGATCACCAGGAATCAAGAAACTGGAGAATACTACCCGTGACTTGAGGAGAAACTAATTAATTGAAATGAATTTAAGAAACACAAATGAATACTAAGTTCACCTGCATTACATGAATCTACCAACTTTAACCTGTCTGGTGAAGTTACTGCAATCAGTGTGAACAAATATACGCATAAAACTATTGCTATGAAAATGCCCTCAATCGATGTGGGCGATACTCCACAGATACTAGTTATTTGCGAGGGGTGTTTTATTCTAAAAAGGAAAAAGGATTCACTTACACGATAACCATTGTGAAATACTTCATTCGAAACCACTGGTGTAATCGCGTGTCCCTCTGGTTGAACTGATTGAATAGCTTCAATGAGTCGGTCAAAGTAATACGATTCAAGTTTCCCGTAGTCATCACCGAATTTCTTCAGCTTCATGAAATCCGAAATTCCAGCATTCGATTCCCTATTTCAAGCGGAAACAGTTTGATATGTTTTAGAGAATATAAGACTAATTGGTTTTATTCGATTTTATGGAATGTGTGAATAATTTTTATATCAACAGTTACATAATACTGGAGGTGTCACCTTTAAATAGTAACATGAACTCATATGATGGTGTTTATAGTGTCTTTCACCTCAACTATCAGTTACGACACTTTTCACAAGATACTACCAGCAGTCGATTCGAAGGATATCCTGATGGATTTCAGCAAATGTGAACAGCTCTTTCGATTTGGTTGTGTTCTCTGAGCCGGTTGATTTAATGAGAAGCTTTTGCTGTCCTTCTGGATGTTGTCTAGAAGAAACTGCTTCAACACTAAGGAGAACCACGAACCTACGTGAACGTTATTCAGCGCTTACATCATGATGCGACATACCAAGTTATTTGAAACGGAAAGCTGAACGAAGAGTAAGAAGCGAGAAGAGGAGTGAGGCGAGGCTGTTGAAAGTAAGACGTCTGACACTAATGAAAACCACATTACATGAAGAATGCAGTGGTGACGAAGATACACAGCCAGGTAACTCACCAGTCACCACCAAGGACAGAAATTCTAATGAAGTCACACCTTTTACATTTCTGGGCGGAGTGGATTCGATTGCAGGCAGCAACAATGACTATGTCGAAGCTAGCCGAGATTGGGAAAGCAAGAAACGGGTTTACTAATTAGTGTCAGTGTGCAGGTTCACAGAACGTATCCAAGGAGCAAGATTCGAATTTTCAACACGAATATGAACTCACTGCGTCAACATGTTTTAGAGACTTGATGAGTCACAGAAATTTGTTTCTTGCGGACGATCATTAATGGTGAATTGAAATGAAGGTTCGGTGGTCAGAAAATGTCAGAGAAACAGGAAAAGCTCTGGTAGTGAATTTGGCGGAAATCTGGTGCTAAAATAATGGGCAGAATGAAGTGGACGTTGGCTAGAAATACGTTGAGTGAAGTCACGCGCCAGGCGTTTATTCGGAAGCGGATTGGGTAGCGATGGGCATGGTTCCCAAAGGTGAAACCATGAAGTTCACATTAAGAGGGAGTGAAACATTTCAGGCAGTCGGAGAGTCTGTTGAGTGTGATCGCAGACAACATATCACTATGGACATATGCCATAACTTCTATTAGGAACTCAAGAAATGATAAGAATTGATGAAATATATCGTGACAGCATAAAGGAAGGAAACAATCATTGATTTCACAGATCTTAGACAAATAAGAAGTTCAGTTTCATATCAGTTCAACTCATGTTATGAGACTTCTGAAAGGCAACCTGCTCAACAGTTTTGATTGTGACGAAGTGAGACTAAATTTCACAGTTCATAGAAGCGTAGTCATGAAAATAGGGTTTCTAGTGAATGTGAAATTTTAATCAATGGAGTTATATTAGGGAATCTCATATTACGAGGTCTAACTGAGACTAATTAAGATCAGGATTTTCGAAATCAACGTCAGCCTTCCTGATGTGCTCTGCGTTTTAGATTGTTTAAACATGTTTAACAGTCCACTGATTCGTAAGATACTACTTGAATTCAGAAACAAACCTGCATTCTTCCCCCTAGGGGATGTTGTCAGCATATAGTCAGTAAAGTTTACTAGTAATATCAGTAACCAAACGGACATTTCACGCAGACAACTTCACGTTCTCAGGAATAACCAGGCAAACTGAATATTTCTAATGCAGCGATTCAATAGTGAGAGCGCTTATTCAAGATTTCAATGTTAGTAACACTCAAATTTCGAAAATGTACACCGCTTCCATCCCCGTAAAGCATCTTTTACGATATCATAACAAAACTTAACCCTTACTTGTATCATTTTGTTTTTGTATTCCTGAATGACGAGTGATAGCCATGTGTAAACATACACCATATTTCATAAATTTACCATACTCAGGGTGACGATAACCTTGACTCACTCAGATACAATCAAATGATCACAAATTCATATTTCAATAAATGCGTCGTCAACAGCCGTGAAACCATAGCCATTCTAGTTATCAAGGAAACTATGGATATCTTGAATGCTTTGTTCAAGTGTACCAATGGACTCATGTCATCTTCAACATTCATTTCAGAATAGATAAAGATAAATCTTACCAGCATGAGAAGGAAACATCGTTACCACCCAAATGGATATATGCTTCTGGGAATACTGACGTCACTTCTCTGAAAAACGCTTTCAGAATTTTAAAGTTGGCCTCACGTGCAGGGTTGAATGGGCCTAATTGACTTCCAGAAGAACATTTTGTCCGCATTCCACGATAACTTTTTTCCCATGACTTTGTGTGACCTGTAATCATGAGGAAGGCGAAGCTGTCATTTCCACTTCAATGGTAAAGAATATATAAACATTTCACTAGAAATGTTGAATATCGAAAAATACAGTGGTGAAATGTCACCTGTTTCAAAAAGATGCTACTCACTCGGGGTATCAAATTCCACCATCACACGTATCCCACGTAGACGAGCGTACTCTATCACACGAACAACATCTTCATTCTCATAAACCAACTTCCGTGGATGATACGCACCCTATATGAAGATAGAGAAAAGTGAGTCGAAGAAATAAGAAGGACAGACTACTTCTCGGGAGAGTCGAGGATATGTGGATGACACATAGGGGAATGAACTGTCATCCGTCATATGCCAATGAAATACATTCATTTTCACAACCGCCATTGCATCCTTAAAAAGTGTGAATTAGAAATAGAGAAGGAGGAGAAACTCACAATGAACTTTACAATCTCATCAACACTGATATAATGTTTGGCAGTGTCAACGAGAAATCCTCTGTGAATGAATCTTGGTGCATCCTCAATAATGTCTTCGTGTATTACAAGCTGGTTGAATGAATAAACAAGGTGTTAATGATCATGAGGTTGACAGTGCAATCACATTTGACTTACAGACCCCGATTTACTTCTATGCACCAATTGTATGATACTCTGCAATGCATGCAATGCTCCCCAAACTTCATTACATTCAATTTCAATCTTCTCATCGAGTATGCTGATTTTGTCTTTAGTGGTTAGATGGTTCATTATGTATGAAAAAGTTGGGAGTTACTCACGTGATTCATCCATGTATTCACTTGGCCACAATTTATTCTCTGACTCATCACAACCGTCTTTAATCACAATTGTCATTGTGTTGATATGGAGAGTTTCGACTTCATCATACGATCGCTGTTGACGCCTCATGAGGAGACGTTTGTTGAACACTTTCAGGGCGTCAATCAGAATAAAACATTTTGAATAATTATGTACAATGAAGAGGGATTCAGCTATGCTACAAAGTGCATTTCCTTCTATGTGTTTTCGTGGTCTCGGTACTAAGGCATTGATACCGTTGTCTGAAACTATGAGAAATATGAGGTTAACCAAGTGAGCAATTAACATGATTTTTGTTTTCCGTTAAAGTTTTCTTCATGTTGTTTCAACGCGTATTTATATCCATCTTGTCGTATGTGTTTTCTATTTTAGTCTGTGTGTGTGTCTGCATGCGATCCAGCTGTATCATTTGATAAACGTGTTTTGTTATACGTGAAGGTGAATTTAATTAACCAATGGGTGTTTATGCGGAGTAAAACAAGGCTGGACATATTCCTGTCTGCTTAGAATGTCAGTCTACTAAGCCTATAGCACTCCCATCTTATGAGATCAGAAAGTAACCATGTAGATGCTGTGGCTGTAGAGATGATCGCTCTATCAGACATCTATTCACTAACATGATATCAAGATCAACCAAACTGTGGAGAGTTATGTAGACTCCAACTTTTCATGAACTGATGTAGTTTCGCACTGTAGTAGCACAATGCATTGACCACTCTGGCTGTGCCACTACGAGTTTTAGACACACTCGTGTTTATGCAGATATTCGGAATGCTTGATCCTCATGAAGAAGACACAGACTGTTGGACACTGTAAAAGTGTTATATTTAATCTCTCACTAGGTCAACTACATAGGTCAAACTAGTAGGTCAGGGGTAGTCAGATTGTCAGAACATAAGAATTTAGCTAAGGTAAGAATGGTTGATCCCGAGAAGATAAGTAATTTAGAAAACATCTCAGCAATTGCAATGCATGCATTAACACACAACCACACAATAGCATGGTGGGAGAGGGTTAAAATTCTAAAAAGTAATCTAGGTAGGTGGAGAAAGGGAGAGGTTGATTACTGAATCCTTGTTCATCGAATCTACACCCAACACATGCAATAGGAATGAATCATCACTCATACCTGAAATATGGAAAATAATACTACCAATCAAATCAAGTGAAAAACAATAGAACTATATAAATGAATTTAGGAAGTCGTGTGATTACCTTGATATGATTATGAGCAATAAATTGTGCTCGAAACGTCATCAGTAAATATTACTGTATAACACTGTGAGACTTTATCAAAACAAAATTTACCCATAATGGAATTACACTCTACCACAGTGCCCAAGTTTTATTCTTATATCAGTTTATCTCACTAGATAAGTTTGCTTCTCCGTGCTTGGACGGCAGCTTCCACCATTTCATTCGTGACAAAGCAAACATGAGCAAGCCAGAGTGTAGTTTAATGTAGAAATTACTGACCATTCACTATCCCGTACGAGAAGAACAGTTCAAACCATGTTTAAATGCATTTGCACTCTAAACAATAAGCACTGTCAATATCACAGTTACCTAATATACGATAAAACACAATGAAGACAGACAAATTTCTCATTTCACAGTCACTTCACTTTGAGGATAAAACTAATTACACTCTTATTAGATTCAGCGACCCCAGACATTTTGCGTATAGACGTGATAGATGTGCTTCAGGTGGTAGTATTGTCTAGCATCATAATATTGTCTTAAACGTAGACACAAGTCCTTAATATGTTCAGTGTGCTTTCATTGATTACACATCTGTCTTTGACTCTGTGCATAGGCTTCTTTTGTGAAACTAGCCCACTGCGACACAAGTAGGGTGATGAATTAATAGATGGGTGCATTTTTAACTTTTCTGAAAGGAAGCAGTACATGGCAGATAGTGGGAAATCCTCCACTGCTTTACTTGCTCTAGTCAATGTCCCTCTAAGTACATGTCTCATTCTGAGGAATCCATTTTTGTTAGGTATTCCGAAGATCTGATTATTTCTGTGCCAATGACATTTTCGTCAGATTGCTCCAAAATGAATGGCTTTTCATCAGGAATTCGTCAGTGATGCCTATTAAATTGTCTCAAGTTAAATCCCTCCAAATATCAGATTGTTAATTACATTTTCGGACACACGTGAACAAACATGAATTTGTTCATTGGGATGATTTTCGTATCACATATATACCAGTGAAGTTTAAAGTACATCGAATGTCCAGTTGCATAGATTATACCTTTCCTGGTCTTTCCACATCACGTTAACTTTCAGATAGATACTTCGTCTGAAGTTTAGCTTGAGAAAGTTAAGACAATCTGTTATCATTCAGTCTCTAATTTTACAGGTTATGAATTCGTGTATTCAACCCATTCGTCATTGTTGCCCAATTTATTCTTTTCGGTAATATCACTGTCAAGCTGTATAGTCGCATCTATCCAGCAACTTTCCTTAGGAACAAAAGAAATATTCTAAGAGATTTGTCATATGAACTCCCAGTTTTAGACAACAAATGACGTGATATAGAAAACGTTAATCGGATAGGAATTGAAGTAAAATTTATTGCATAAACTGAGTGACGTAATACACTTGTCAGCATTGAGTGGGAACCAACTAAAATTGGATGCTGGTCAAGTTAACAACGGTGGTAATTAGGAGTAGAAGTTAATTAGGCGACTGAGGAAGAAAATTTTACGATTTGAAAACTAAAACAAAAAATACGTGTCCGATATTAGGACAGGTAATAATGATGAATAAACGTCTTCTGCGGTCAGAGTTTGGGATTCACACTGTGAATCTGCATTTCTTCTGAGGTTTGAAGAAGTTTGATTCATACTCTTTCGACAAGATTTCTACGTATTCTGTAGATGACTTCGAATTCGGCCTTTGGGTTAGTTAGCTTGGTATCCAAATTCGATCTCGTGTCCCACAATAGAGCTTTGGGGGAGATACAGAGTAATAAGATGAACTAAGCTCTACTTATGAGCTCGGAGTCGACTAGTGATGTTGAACGTCCATTCCAAAACAACCCAAACAAATATCTTTCATATCTTTCAAACGTCAAACTGTCTACAACTCAACCAGAGGCACTATCTTCACGTCCAAGATTCTGTGCAAGTTCATAAAACATTCAGAGGTTTCAATTCCAGCTTCATTTCCGAAAATTTGATAAGTCGAACTTATGATGTGCCACAATCTGCCACAGCTCAAATCACCAGTCATCGACAGTTGTGGTGAGTCTATAAATACCGAAACTAATGGAGATACCATATTAACCAAGAAACATTATAAAGAGCTGAGTGAATTATTGAAGAATGAAGAGGTAGTGCTAATAATTTATGATGAAGATGAGGGAATCTTAATTCTGAGCCGTGACAACCATATTAGTAAAATACTAACAATCCTATCTGACGAATGCAAATTCACAAAATGGGAGAATGGAAAGAATATAATGGAGCGAACCGAATAAAACCTAGCGAATACCATGCTAAAACTAAAGACTGAATTTCTCGTTGACGCCGAAATGTTGGAACCTCTGAGACCATCTGGTTCATACATAACCTGACTCTAGTGATTGCCGAAAACAAAATCCACAGAGGAGGCGAACCCCTTCGACCTATTCTCTACGTGATGAATTCACCTTATCGTTATACTGCTCAATCGTTAGTAGACCTACAGAAACCAGTCAATGGCTAGTTTCCAACCACTCACTCCGATTTTCCTTTGACTTTGTCAACTCTTCTGAAAATGTCAACGTATTTGATCAAACCATATTCTCGACGGACGTGGTATCACTGTTTGCAAACGTCCCACTAAGTGAAACAGCATGCTACATGTACGAACATGATTCAGTAGGAATGGAAAGTGGAGTACTTGCTGACTCATCGAAGGATCACCATTTGAGACGGGTCATAATTGTCCATTTCTTTTCTCACCGCTACGCCTGTTGCATGAAGATTTATTCGTGTCAAAACTCGAAAAAACATCTTTGGGTTTCAAAAAAGATACGTGGATGATAATTTTATTATCTCCAATAATTGAAAGAATTTGGAAGATATCATGGATTTCGTCGACTGCTGCCACCCTACAATGCAGTTCACATTACACGGGTCTGATTCAAAAGTAACTTTACTGGACGTTCAGCTAACGAGATATGAACAATATGGAACACTAAAATGATCTATCCACAGAAAGCCGACATTGAACGGACGACTCACTAACTTCCACTAAACCTGGTCCGTTTGTTGAAGCACAGAATCTTCAGCATTCGCAACCCTGACATTGTGTAAGAGGAGGTGAATACTCTGAAAAGAATTCTTCTTGAAATGGCTCCGTCGAACTTTTCATCACAAAATCCATGAGACCTAAATCACTAAAACCGCCAATATATCAAGTCATTCAATCTAATTTTTTATTTTTATTTAACTTCCTACCCGATGAACGCTTTCCATATCACATAATTTGTAATCTAACATTACCAACTCTTATGACACGTCTTTGCGACTGATTCTTTTGTTGCTAAGAAAATTTACTAGATATATGCGATTGTATGGTT